CTACCATTACCACTATTATGAATGCCATTACCACCATCATCATTACCACTACCATTAGCACCATCAGCACTGCCATTGCCACTACCATTATCACTATCACTGCTATTACCACCATTACCAACAAATTACCATTATCATTGCAACTACCATTACCACCATCATTTCCATTACCACCACCACTACCATTATCACCACCATTACCCCGTTGCTACTGTTACCACCATCATTACCATTACCACCACAACTACCACCATTACCAACACCACCATAATCACAAATGCCACCATTACAACTAGCATTACCTCCACCATTACCATTACCACCACATACTGTCATTACCTCCACTACTATTGCCACCACAACCAAAAATAATTATGCTCCATTTCATTACCACCACTACCAAAACCACCATTATCATCAATTTTACCACCACCATCATTACCATCACCACCACCACTATTCCCACCATTATCATTATCACCACCATCATTACCATCACCAACACCACTATTCCCACCATTATCATTACCATTACCACTAGCCCTAATACCACCTCTACACCATCATCACTACCACTGCTACCACCAAACTGTCGCACCACCTGCCCGAGGTTTACGTCAGACAGCCAATCTAATGAAAACATGGAATGTCTATTCTTTGCATCAGACCAGACTTGCCTCTGTGGCACATAGTAGATATCTGCTTGTGTTGGGGACTGCAATGCAGTATTTGATGGAGACCAAGCTAACTGCAAAATATTTGCCAGTTTCCTAAACTCCAGTCTCTCCTGCCCAAAGGAACAGACTGAGGGAGAGGAAGTGCTTTGGTTTGCTCTGGGTATTTCTAATCAGTTTGCAGTGCTGATGGGCCCTATTATCTGTGGAATACCTTTGAAGGGGAAATGCTTGATGCATTTCATTAGTCTATTGGAGACTGCCTGAGGACAAGGCAAACTTTATTTCACGACCCAACTGACTAATGATTAGGACTTGCATCTATCCCTGTTAGATATGAATCTCTTGCAGACAAACAAGATTTATAACTGAAGGAATTTGCTGAAACTGGTCAAGGACATTTTTTAGCAAATAATCTCTATCCAACCTACTACTACAGCTGTTTCAGGTTTAGCCACCAACAGTCAATATGAACTTGAGGTGGATCCTAGTGCCTGACTGACGCAACTGTGAGGAACCCCATTCCTGAAGGGAATGGTGATGATTAAACTAGTGGCCATATATGTCATCCCTGCTTAGTTACTGAATATTGGTGGAAAAATAATCTTACTATTCTGGCTGCCATTTGACAATTTGGTACCCTTTCACTGAACCTGTACATGTGTATTCATCCGTCTTTGGAATGGGAAAGGGGATCACTGGGACTGTAACATTCAAGGCATGACAATGTTAAGCATAGGAGACAAGGTGCCTTCAACCTTTGAAGATATATCAGAGACTACTTACTGAGATTAGAGATGGAAAAGTTTAGATTATTGAAACAATAGCAAATCTATATACTGGTAATGAAGGTGCCCTAGTGTGGGCTGGGGCATTTCTAGCTTTTCCTGTGAAATCAGGAATGTGGCAGGACTGTGTTTTTGCTTTTTGGCTGTATTAGTTAATGAAAACTATTACTTAGAGGCAAAATAGAAAAACATTAGGCACTCTCAAGATCATTGATGATGTTGCGCCTTATTTGACCCTTTTGAGACGCTAGTTTCAATTCTTGATGCATTTATTCATAACTATCGGTTGTTAGACCAGGAACTTGTGACAAGAGCCTTGAAGAAGAGTATTAGGAGATGCTGGCACAATGTCTTAAAGGTCCTGTATGACAGGATAACTTTATTCTGTGAATTGGTGTCTCCTCTGCAAAAGGTACAAATGGCATGACTACGTGTCTAGCTAATGACTGCACAGTGAGACCAGCACAGTCCCTATTACTTGCACAATCCAGGACTGCCATTCCAGGCTAAAAAACACTTGGCTTTACTTCCTAAGAATGTTTCATCCATCAGGTTGTCTTCTCAAAAGGTTGCCTATGGTTGACCAAGAAAGTTGTGGCTTAGGCAAGTATGGACCTTGTGGCTAATGTTAAAAAAAACAAAGCAGAATGGCTGCAAACAGAGATTGAATACTGCAGTGAATAGTCCTCAGTACTAGTCCCAATTATTGATTAACTAACAATGATATTGATATGTTTACTTTAACAATCCTTTTTCGCAGGAGGAAACTGGCAGTGACTTTAAACCTCGTTCATACCAACTGGAGCTGTTCAACACTGCCCTAAATAAGAATTCGATACTCGTTCTCGGAAGTGGGTCAGGCAAGACATTCATCTCAATCCTCCTGATTAAAGAATTGGGGCATCAAGTGAATTGCAAAAACAGAAAGTTTGTCTCTGAAGCTACTTTACAAATAATTTGTGTTAAGACTAACCAATTTGCTGCTCTGTTATTCTTTTAAATCAGAAAAGAAATTCTTTCACATTTCGATGATAGGTT